CATCCTGTCAAGGTGTATTGAGATTTTGACTGACAGGAAGGAGAGTTGTGTTTCCCGACTGAAAATCCTAGCACTGCATTAATGTGCCCACCATCTAGTTGTCGATTCCATATGTCGCGACGTTTACACAATTCGGTTGTGATAAAATAGGCAAATCTACGTCTTTTGTACATCATTTAGTATGTTGCTAACAGTGTCTGCATTTTACCGTCTGATCCTTAATTCGACTATATTCAGGTATACTGAACATTCAGGTTAATCTATGTTTTGCTTAAAACGTCTGAGAGATGTGCGTAACTATTTGATATTCAATGCTGTTTTTGTCACATTTCCGTAATTAGGAGTTTTAATATTGTGGAAACAAGAGCCCTCAAAACACAATGTTAACTTATTCGCATGATATATAAAAATGAGGCTTCTAATTCCGTATTTCTCAGACCATGATATTCCGTCATAACATGGATGATGAATTTGTCGCATTGGAATGAGGCATAGTGACTGAGAATTTATATTCAATATATCATATTGTACACTGTGGTTGACAAAATAACCTATAGACAAACAACCTACGTGTTATGAATCTCCACGTGGTTAGATCTTGAAAAGTCTCCTTTGATATTGTATTTCATGGAAATGCGCGTAGCAAATAACTTGAAAATATGGAGGTTGTTGGACTTCTCTGTATGTACACTGACTTTGCAATCTATGCCGAGTGATTACACTTCTCCTTGTTGACATTTGATCTCTCCTACTCAATACAATTCGATCGTCAATGCAACAAACCTCGAGTTGTGCAATACTGATAGCCTATTTATTCCAAATAGTCAATTCATTCTGACACATCTCACTCTGCCAGAAAGACACTGAACGCACAATGAAACAAGATCATACGAAAGAAAATGTTATATTTAATTAAACAAAAAAGAGGTAAGCAAACGATTTATTTCCTTCACTACTATTGCTTCAATTCCCTTGGAAGTGAATTCAATTTTCTGCAGCTGAAACAAAATGAAATCAGAAACAGAGTAGTGCTGAGTTGAGGATAGACAAGGATCTTGAAAAGCAGAAATTATAGTCGACAATTTTCATCGGATAAACAGTGATGTTAATCTTCAGGCAATACTTCCAGTGAAGATTGAAACAAGGATTACCTGCGGACATTATCAAATTTGCTTTTAAGTTTCAACTCTCCTCACAGGTAATTAGCTATACGAAGCACTACTTGAATTTATGATGTTATCAAAAGTTGTTACAACCCTGATATTGCTCACAGCTCTCGACTGTAGTCATGTAATCAGTCAGCCAGTAGGTGAGTCATGACGTGTTTGTAAACTGACGAGTAATCGAGAAATGCGAGTGAAGAGAAGTTCATTGGTACTTGTTTCTCAAGAACTCATCTAACTAATTTCACCTAATGACGAAATCCATCTTCAAGTTCATATCCACTTGTGCAGTTAGTTAGAAATTTAAAACACGCTGAAGATCTATGTAGGGACTTACTTCATTATTACAGCTTGGCATCTTCCTTCATTTCAGCCAGGAGCCAGTTTATTCTGTATTCTGGGGTTTGAACTAGGCAGTTCTAAATCACTTTAATATTTCAACTTACACTTTAAAAATCTAATCCTCTCCATTTCCAATAGTTTTATGTATTCCTCTATCATTACTAAAACAGTGAATATATTGTAAGTGATGAATTTTTAGCATTTTCAGTGTCATGCTTCGACAATATGACATAAAGATCAAATCTCAATATACTCGATCATGTTATGTATTTTCAATGTAACTGTTATTCTGAACCTCACAAAATATGTGATGAACTTTTCTGGTTTTATTCTATGATGCATTAATGAAGTCACTGAAGCTTTATCGGAATGATTTTGCGTGTTTAGATAATATGAAAATAACACTATATGAGCAGTAAATTTGACGTCCTTGAGCACAGCTTTTTCAGACCTAATTCTCACCGACTGTACAACAGTTTGCAGATTCCAATATTAGTGGGACAAGTAATATTGCTAATTTTATCAATGACATAGCCTCATGTGGTATTAGGGAAAAAGACAATTTGATGACAAATCATCAGCCATACAGGCTACTTTTGTCTCTTGCAAAAATGAAATTCACTGAGAGGTGCATTCATCTCTAGAACTATGAAATATCACATGTGATCAAATCAAATAACCATGTAAATTTACCTGCGCTGAAGGAAACACGACTACGAGCCTTCCAATACACTTTCTCAGCATCCAGTGATTCTGAAAGGAAAAATAACTTGTTATCAAACTCAAAGTAGCTTGAGTACTTGAAATTATTAATGGGAAATACTTCATACAAATACATTGAATGTGGAAAGAGATATGCGTAAGTTATTGGCGCGCTTTGTATTTTCACCTAGTGAGTAAATTCTCACTTTCACTTATCCTTTGGTAGGTCTGTTGTCTTCACCTTCACGTGATCTTCAAACTAAAGATCTTCAAGAACAATTCACTGTCAATTCAAAATACCATGCATTGTTCTGTTCATAATTTATTCGATGTTTGCCTGTTGACGACCAAAACTTTAATTATTTGTGGCACCAAGCTAGTTACCGTGATCCATTTATGATGACGTCATTCTCTGGTAAACATGAAGTTCTGAAGTTCCTTCTTGTGGAAATGTCGTTATTTTCCATTAAAAGTGAATCGCATGGAGCTGAGTGATGAATACATATTTAACTTCAAAATATTTTCAGCAGGATGAAACTGTCGCTCATACCTCGCAAACATGCTACATAATTTTAATACAATCTTATGATATGCTTATGAGAGATAAATTGTTATAGAATCGTCATCTAGCTATGAATACTGTTACAATTTGTCCTATCTTCACCGAACTAATCTCATATTGAATTATATTCTACTACAGTGTGACCTATGTGCCTTCTACTGTCAATGTCATCTTCATCAATATGTTGAGAAGATTGATGATGGTCTACTCTTCTGTCTGCTTTCCAATACTCAGCAAAGTGGAAGTGGATCTTGGTTTCACGGTACTAGCACTGTTGAGTGAAAATTGCTAAATAGTTGTAGAAAATTATGCGTTTCAGGTGTCTGTGTGTTGACAAATAATTAAACACGTCTACTTTCATATACAATCATCACCACGTTCATCCAATGGTTTAATCATATTAGCCTTGTTCATGATTTCACTGCACCTTAAAGTCCACTTATCAAACTGATGAATACATTCACTCACTTGAATTTTTCTTGTGTGCATTATATGCGATAACTGCTGCCGTTTCCAGCGATTTAAAGTGAGCTATGAAAACAAGAAGTGTTGAATGATATTTAGAACGTTACTCAAGAAACTTCAATATCATACTCATCATCACACTGAATACAAATATTGACTATCCGAAAACGCTTCATAATAACTTGATTATTTCTCAACACGTTGCTTCTCACCACACAGTGAATATATTAGTTTCCAAAATTATAATCCAGTCCTTGCTGAAGGAGTACTGACTCACTGGTGGTAACGCTGGCCTTCCGATTATTTCTGAGAAGGTATTGTACTGGTGGTGGAGAAGATATCTCATACAACCTAGTTAATGCGTCTGTTATTGTTGAGTAAATAGGGCACTTAACGAATAACTATAAACACAACTTCGAGTGAATTTTCATACTAACTTTTTATTATTCGTGAATGTAGTATGCAATACGAATTCACAGAATCATCTTACCTCTATATGTATTCAATCGTTTATTTGCTTCTATCACATCCTTCTTTCTCATTTCAATTTGGACTATAATTTCGCAATATCGAAAAGTATGAAATATTTCATTGTGAATTCTTCAACGGTAAATAATCATATTAACGCAATGACTACTGACTGTCACAATAAGTGCTCATACTGTTGATAATGTCCAACTTACCACATGTTATTTTGGGTAGTTAATGATAACAGTAAAACAAATACCTTTGCTACGTGTAACTGCATTTATACGGCATCTGTGCCGATCTTCAATGTTGGCTTGACTTTGTCCGTTATGGAACAATAATCGTTTGCATAGACTAGTAAACTTTTACAGAATAATTTGTCAGGTCATTGAATGATTAATCGTGTCAATGGTTTCTCATGTTAACAGTTGCATTTATGAAGACATGCATGTAAAGGACTGAAGTGGCATGTGCTACTGCAAAGATCTATCGGCAGTATACATATATTTTGGTGCGGTTGTGTTCTCTGAGCTGGATGGTTTGGTTGCGAAGCTTTCATTGCTCTACTGAGCAACATCTTCAGCGCATACTTCGATATACATAAAGCGACGTTCATCGGCATAAAAACATTGAATAGTGGGGAGATAGATTTGATGTTAAAGAAAGCAAATGATGCAGCTTTGTGGAAAAACATGTGAGATGTGTCAGAGATACAAAGAAACTCAATTTAAAGGAGAGAAGTAGCATAACGCCGAAAATCTTTACTGATGTGGTTTTGAAGATAAGCTGTACATTAGCTGGCTTTACAGTAATGCCGAATTCCAAATAAATATTCCTTTTAATAAGGCATTAAGAAGACAGATTTCGCGAGATGATATCATTTCGTAGTTTCTTTACAACCGCTTTACAACTAACATGGTTAACAATAATAAAATAAAGTTCATGACAATTACTCAGTTAAATAAAAACAAAAGTACATATGATTGGTCATTAGTATGTACTTTTGTTTTTATTTAACTGAGTAATTGTCATGAACTTTATTTTAATATTGTTAACGATGTTAGTTGTAAAGCGGTTGTAAAGAAACTACGAAATGATATCATCTCGCGAAATTTGTCTTCTTAATGCCTTATTCAAATTTATCAAAGGGACTAATTGTTTCACTTTTCCCAAATATTCCTTTATCAAGTCTATTGCCTTCTACCGTTACACTGATACTTTACTGCGTGAATACATTTCTGTGCATTATTTCTGAGTAAACCATATTATGTAAGGCATGGATATTGACACACACACTTCGCACTAAATATAAATAAAACCATTCAAAACATTTTGTAGTTGTTGGTGAGAATATATGAACAACAATGTTCATTATAAGAGCTTTCACCACGTATTGCTCATCAAGATGGTTTATTTTTTTTATTTTTTTCTTTCAGTGAATAGACTTCTGATCGAAATCAATCTATTTGGAGTTCGATATCGTAACGGTCACGTGTCAGCTGCCAGTAATGAATATATTGATGCACAATGAATTCGGGCAGACATAGTGTTCGGATGCGTGGAGACAACTTTTCCGTACATTCAGAGAAATCGAGAATTGATTCAAACATTCAGCTAGCTGCTGTATCTACTACTATTCACAAAATCAAGACAGATATTTCAGCACGGTTTATGAGTTACGAAAATGAGTTACAAAGTGAAAGAAAACTAACCTTCGTCTCTCTTCAAATTGTCTGATGTAACCGCAAAATAAGCACCTGCAATTGACATATCACACTGTCATTCAATTTCCAGGTACACGATGAATCCATCATTATCATAATCGATTTATTTAAAGATGGATTCAGCTGACGTTAATTGAAATAGCACCATCACAGTTTAATTGCTTACTAAGTATAAAGATTTCTTAGAGAATGCTATCAGACCGTCAAGTAAGTGTTTTCTAACCATTTTAATAACAAGTAATCAATTTTTGAGTGAATCTGATGACAAAATATGACTAAGTGAATACAAGTTTGGTGTTTGCCTATTAGCGTCTATGCCTTGAACTACGCTCTGTTATTTGGATCGCGTATCAGCTGACAAATTTTCTCATCATTCTCTGTCAAGTGTGAATATCAGTTCTGACGAAATAATCCCTGACATCCAAGTAGCCTTAAAATACACACGATCATGAACATAAATCAGTGAGTGGGACCAATGAAATGCTCCGAACACTCCTACAGAATGACGTTTTCTCATGCAACGCCAACAAATCATCAGATATTCACTTTAAGACTACCATCCAGTGATGTATCACGTTTTCTTCCTCGTTTAGTCTGAATTTACACTCGTTGGTGAGATGTTTAAGAGAAAACATCACCGTTTCGATGTGTTGTAGTAAATTTTGTGTAAGACTGGGAAGTTTTCTGTGGCTTTACGTACTTAGCCTAATAACAGAAGAAGAATATTTACTTTCCTACAAAAAATATCCAATAATCTACTGCCCTTCTAAATTACCTTCTGCAGTATCGAGATTTTTTCTTCTTTCCCATTTCTTTGAAATCTCCTTTCTCATCAGATTGTATGGTACTCTTTTGGCTGAAGGAATAAATAAAAATTCACTAGGTGTAATGATTACTCATAAGCTTTGTCAGATAGGGACACATGATTATTTGGCCTGTGGAATGTTCCATCAGCATGATGATAGTGGTAATCTACCTAGATGTTTTAGAATGACTCAGTTTAAGGCATCCAACAGATTTCATCATAGTACCAAGTATTGACTATTGGATTCACCTAAGTGATGCATGACACATTGTGAATGTGGTCAGGTTTCTGAGTAAGAGCAGGGCACAAGATTACTTCACATATGCAAACTGAAAATCATCATCAGTTGAAACGCTTATGTCATGAATCCATAGAGAAGTACCCCGGAGATATTCTGAATATCACTGGAATGTGATTTGTCGTAACAGCGGATCTTAGTAACAAATCAATATAAAGAACAAATAGGAGAGCGGTGTAGTATGGCAATTAATGTCTTAATGGTTATCAGATTTATCCTCATGTAATTTTGCTTGAAATATTTTAGTAGAGAAGTGAGATTACCATGGATGAAACGCAAGTGCGATTGTAGATTGTAAAGACGATGTGATACAAAACACCAGTTCAAAATGTTGTTTACATTTTTCACAGAACGAGTTACTTAATTTCAACTAACTACTGAATTTAAAACGAATGCAGTGGGAAAAATTCTATCCAGGATCAAGAGAGCGAGAGTTAACTCAAAAGGCAGAAAAGAAAGTCACAGTTGTCGAAAGATGTTCACAGTACTAAGAACAATGCATGACAAGAGAAGAAGGAAGATTTATATTGACAGCTACAAACAGTAATGGACAACATCCAAGATGATACATCAGTATCCTTACGAGCGATATGAATGTGGGCCGAACTGGGAGTGGATTCATGATGGATCAAGCTGCTGGTGCCTGGCGAAATGAATGAGAATGGAGAATTATTCACACACCTCTGAGCTCTGAATGATATAGTGAATGGAGGTAGCGTGTACAAATACAAACAAATACACGAAGCAATATGGATTTCGACTGATGGATACACCACACACCAGATAAACTTCATCTCAATAATACTCAGGTAAGTGAATACGCAGCCAGGCTGCTGGATACATATTCGAGAAGGAGAGCAGATATAGGCTCAGACCATCATTTAATTCAACGTGAATCTGAAATCTAACAGAACAACTGGAGATGAGCCACTGTAAACCAATTTCAACATTCAGAAACTGAAGGAAAAAACTAATATGGACGCCTTGACTACGGATCGGAAACACTAGCTGGCATCACTGAGGACGCCTGTGTGGAAGAATATTGGAACCAACTTTCTGAAGGAGATGTTCAAGGAAATATGTACAAATGTTCTAGATGGAGAAACAAACAAAACGATGGGCTGATCATTTTGAAGGACTATTGAATCGTCTTCCACTTGCAACTCTCCCAGAAACAGCACTACCACTGACAACAAGCAGAGAACTGCCTACTAGTGAACACCAATCTCCTAGCAAAAATGCTGAAGTTCTGAATGCGATAAAGCTACTGAAATCCACCCAAGAAGTTAGCAGGACCGGATGAAACTCTCTTCAGGAGAATGCAACATGTGTTCTCACGCCATTATTACAAACGGTTTGGAAAAAGGTTTGGCATAGTTTCCACTGACTGAAACAAAGGCTATCCCGTCAAGCCGCCAAAGAAGGATTACTTAGGTCTCTGCAAAATCTGGCATGGACTAATGCTGATGTTTACGCCAAGTAGAACTACCAAGTTACATCATCCTGGAGAGATTACAGAATGCCATCCACCAGAACAAGCCGGATTCGCAAAAAGTATATCATGTGCTGGTAAAATCGCATGTCTACACATCGTCATTGAACAAAGCACACATTGACAGTCAAACCTCTACTTCAACTCCCTAAATCGACTCCGAAAGCACCTTCGATAGTGTAGCGTTGACCCAGAAATAATTTGGAAACTACTTTAATACTACGGCATGCCGTGCCCCAAAGTTTACCAACGTCAATCGACAGCTGGCTATATGACAGTGTCACGTGTCAGATGATCCACAACGGGAAACTGAGCGAGTCGTTCGAAGTGAATACAGGAGAAAGAGAAGCTGGTTGCCTATTATCATCAGTGAAATTCCTAATAGCAGTTGACTGGATAATGCATTAGACTATGCCTGGGAATGAAAAGACAGGAAAAAGCTGAACCCCCGATAAGAAACCACTAGTAGGTCTGGATTTTGCAGGACTCCAGGTGAATACAGAGAGAGTTTAGTTGAATAAGATAACCAACAAATAGCAGCAACAACAACAATCAGCACGAATTACCATCAAAGGCAGAGATTTGACAAACGGTCACCTCCTTCACTGGCTAAGGAGCAGCAATCACAGATTGAATGGATGAAGATGTCAAATTCAGCCAGCCAGAATGAGAAAGGCAAGGTATACCTTCGTCAACCTGAAACCAGTTTAGAGATCTTCTGCATTCGGCTTCAGCATATAAAACAAGATTCACATTTTGAACACCGATGCAAAATCGGTCCTTCTATATTGATCGGAAACTTCACAAGTAACGAAAATTACTTGCAAAACGTTTCAGAATTCTCTAAACAGATGTTTTCTCTAGCTTCATAATGAAAAACAAATGGCCAACCAGAAAGAAGTAGCAACAAGAGACTCTGGCTGAGAACAAGCCAACCAAGAGCTAATAGCTCAACAGATAAGTAGAAGAAAATAAATATGGGTAAGGTATACATTGAGGAGCCTGTCGGATGACATCGTGCGCTGGGCAGTCTCTCGAGTGGAATCCCAGTGGGTAGCGACGAGTGGGCTGTCCTATGGTGACGTAGATGAGATGTTGTGAGGAGATAATAGATTATAGGCAATCATGCACCCAGCTGAAGAGGACGGCAGAAAATAAAACGTAGTGGAGATGTGTTGTTGAATTCCTATGTTCCACTCAGAACCCAAGAGAACAATAGTTGATAATAATGAATTTCAGATTAAGTAGTAATACAAATGCTGGTTAATAAAAATCAATCATACCAATAAAACTGTAATTTAAATCTTTATCTTCTTTCAGTGCCTTCATGTATTCATCTACAGAGAATGGAAGCATTGATTGGTACATATTTAATTCCTCAAATAGCCAAAAATCTGCAGTGTGTGTTTGTAAATTGCGACAGTAGGAAAGTGTGAATTAAGTTCATCAATAAGCATATGACATATCGAACAGTAATAAATCTTCATAATAATCTGAAATTCATTTATAAATAGAATGGTTAGGCACATCTATCTCAACAGATATCATGGATGAATGTTGCCACTGGGACCAGTTTGGGTTGAAGGAGGACAAATCAGGCGCTGGTGCGATTACACAACTGCGAATCATCATCAAACATAGGCTAGAATGCCAGACAACTGGTTCCCTCATCCTCATCGAATTTACGAATACTTTCGACAGTGTCAACCAAGAAATAACTTGTTTGCCTTACCAACACTGCTAAGTGCTGTAAACTCTGATGAATACAATTCAACAAGCATATGAGTATGTCGCATGCGAAACGGCACACAATGGAAAGCTCAATGAATCTCTTGAAGTTAAGGAAAAGACGTCTACTATCACCTATATTATTCTTATGTTATTTTTCTCTACTGGACCATTTGAAGACACATTTGGAAGTGAGCACCTCGATGTTTTGCCCAGAAACGCAGAGAACGAATAACAGTAGTATTTTCATAATGTAACTGAATAACTGTGGATGTATTCAACCATTTCACACTTATAAAACACAAAATAATTGGGCAAAGAATATCCTTTTCGATAATTCGTTCTTCTGGCTATGCAATTATATATATATGTTTATATACTAAGAATATTCTAGAATATTAGCCAATAACAATATTAGTGTTTTTTAAAATTCGACATTTGATAAAAATAAAATAGAACTACATAAACAAGGTTTCAAAATCATGTGAATGAACCTGAGATATCTGTGTATTGTAAATTATATTCGGAATGTTAACAATGATGCATGCTGTTTCACTGTATCATGTACGTATTGAACAAGCTAATGCTGAAGAGGACACTGTAGAGAAAGTGGATGATGGAGGAATTTTTTTCACTACTGTATACCACGTCACTCTTCATTGAGTCGACGACCAGTCTGACAATACTTCATAAAATGGATTAAATTGCATTCGTATAAATGAGCGATAATGGATTCACTTGTTAAAATCTGTCACACCAAATGATTTCAAGCTAACGCTCATTCCACACACAGTAACAAAGTGTCTCATGCACTCTATCTGTTATTTGAGGATGCAATAACATACCAGTATAAAAATTTACGAGCTTCTTGTCTTCCGCACCGATTGCTGTAAAAGTGTAGATAATTTCGGTAAGTAATTAACTTGAACTCGGAAACACGGTTAGAAGGGGACAGTAAGAAAACGCGAAATGTCGACTCAGGGTTTCTCAGATATGAAAAGTAAAACAAAGCAAAGCAAAACACTGAAGCTGTTTGTTTTGTACTACGTACATGGCAACTTATTTGAGGCTTTAGATAACTTTTCCGTCCAACTTTATTGTTTCTGCATTGAAAAGAATATTGAAAGGTGAATCAAAGGCATTCATTCTGCAGATGGCCCGATGTAGCCAGATTTAATGTTGGAATTAAGTATGTTGGTATTAAGTATTCATTCCTCATTCTCCTTAAAAGTTTTCAGACTTTTATTGGTAGAATTTTCTGTGCTAACGACATCTGGAGGTCACTCTCTGCAGTAACTGTTTTGATGATTTATTCGTGGTGTAACTGAATGCATTGGACATCTCGAATGACACTGCAATTCATTTCAGTTCACAATCTAACATGTTTAACTTCAGTGAAAATTCATGCCTCCAGTGGGCACACAGCTCGATTCACGAGCACAAAAGAATCATGAACATGCACCACATGACTTACATTCGAGAAATTCCTTCGCCCATTTACTTTGAAATAAGTGTTCAAGTCTCGAGATTTCTGTTTGAAGTGAAGAAAACACAAAATTAGGGCATGTCATAATGTTGGTTGTAACAGTTTATTCTTTAAAGGACTTTTAACGACCGAAATGGTGATGTGCATATATTTCTTACTTCCTATTTGCCATACACCTTTGTAATTCTGCACTCTCCTCTGCTAAAGTTATTAATTGCTCTTGCATGCTGAAGAAGTATTGAGAACAACATTTATTGGGTGTAGGTTTTTGTGAAATGACTGATAATTTGTGTGTTGTGCTGTGTGAGTAACAGTGAACAGTCAGCAGCAAACTAAGGTCATTCTAGTTTATTACTGCGTTATCCAGGCACATTCGGTTTCAAATCACAAGTAGGTGAAATTTCGTGCCCACGATCAGTCCTTTAAAACCATTGAATGAGGAAAGTCTCGCGTGTTTGGGTATCAGCTAATTGACGATGAAAAGGCTTGCTACTGTTTAAGTTGCAGAAGAAGTAGTCTCTGGAATACATGAGGGTTAGTATAACGAACCTGGAGTTTTATAAACAAATGCATTTCTATCTTACGACTCATAAACTAAAATATAGTTCTATTCAGGCATCTAATACTTTCTTTAGTCATTTGCCAGTGTTAATTTGAACTTTTGTCATCACCGTAGAGCATGAAACTGTGTTTATTTTCACCCGTGAGTTAAGTTCGACTGCATTTTCGCAATCTAGCTCCATTATGTAATTCCTTTTAACAATGTCTAATTACAGTGACTTCGAACAAAGCAAGAACAACAGTTTTTGTAGAATAAAATTGTACCATCATTTATTTAGTTGGCTTCTCGTCATCTGCTTACAGACCAAAGCCAACGATATAAATGTTGGTGCAATTTTATTCTGCAAAGATTGTTGTGCTCGCTTGATTCAAATTCATTAAAGAAAATAAATGTGCAATAATTTTCTTTCGCAGATGGTGGAAAGACTTCATATTCCCAGTTTTCCCCAACGAAAACAATCTGAATTGTGTACTCGTTTTGACGCTCGATTCGAATTAGCCTTCATCCACTCACAGACACAAAAAACGCAATTAAAACAGACCGACTTCAGGGTCATGCTTCTGAAAGCAAGGTAAACCAAGAGGAAAGGGAGGTATTCCATAGATAACTGCAAGTCAGAATGTACGTGACACCGATTAGCAATATCACAATGTGAAAATGAAGGCAAAGAAGAAGGGAAGGCGACCTGTCTTATGTCGAGAGGTTGTGGGTGAAAAATATGCGGACGGTGGACTTTTCCGTACCTTCACTCAGTTGTCGACTGCAGGTAGCAAGATAACATACACGAAATGACATATGTTTCGTCAATTGAATACACCGAATTTCAGAATATCCTCGCCTCAATCTCAGGAATATGATGACTCAGAATAGTGGAAATAAAAACGAGAAGATGATCAGAAGCGACATATTGACAAGTGAAGCAGATTTTGTCGCATGGTAGAAAAACTTCAGAATACTACTTGAGTCTACCACATAGATGTCCTAGAAGAAACAAACACAGATAAAAGCAATGAAGCAAAGTGAAGGCATGCTAGGTAGAAAAGAAGAGAAACGACGTAAAATCTCGAACAGACCACCACCAGCAAATTATCTAGAAATACAATCAATAGCAGGCACAGTACTCTCAGTGAACGCCAATATTCCAAAAAAGTCAGATGTTTCGAATACCATAATGTAACTGAAATGCGGGAAGGAGAGAGGACCAGAAGGAATTCCTTCAGAGTCACGTCATGGATAAATACTCACACCACTGGTGCACTGGTGCACGTCACTGGTTTTGGATGGTGGAAGTGTACTTGCTGGTCAGAAGGATAGCCTACCTTGTCAAACTATCAAACACTGACGACTAATGCCTCTGCTAGAACTCGGCGAGAATCATGCATTGTCTGATCCAAGCAAAATATTAGCTAATGTCATCCTGGAGGTACTGAATGATGCTATGAATGCGAAACTCCCCCAGTAACAAGCTGAATTTAAGGAAAGCAATTCATTTACGGTTCAAGTCGCAACGCTACGCTTAATCATCGAAGAGAGCCCAGGATTGTAATCAATGACTACCTAAACTTCATCGACTATGAAAATACTTTTGACAGCATTGGAAACTACGGAGTGCAGTGCCCCGAACAGCTAACTAAATAGGGCGAATATCAAGAGATGCACAATGGAAAACTCAGTGAGGCTGATCACCAATCATATTCCTGGTCTTGTTGGACTCGGTTGTGTGCTAGACCGTAAACAGCAAGAGGATTGTCAAACGTTGCAGCAACAAGAAGATTGAAGAAGTTTGAACTTTGCAGACGGTTTATGTCAAATGTCACGCAAATTCGAAGATCTGCAGGTGAAAACGAACACGTTGGCAGAAGAAGCAGCCAGCGGAGATACGTCTTCAAGTGAGCGTAGAGAAATAGTGGTGATGAGCATAACTAATCAGCCAACCAACAGCAATGGCGGAAATGTGCAGGAAATCATTTCCCTTAACTATCCAGGCGGCACCATTTCAACTACACGTGGTAGCAAGGGTGATGACTTCGCTGAAACTTTAAAAGCAAAACAAAATCTCACTGCCTTCAAAACAGTAGATAAGTTTATTCCACCCAGTATAATGGATAAGATCTGGGTCTCCACACTGAAGTCAAACCGATGCTTCTACATGATTCGAAGGCTTATCGTGTTGACAAATCATTTACAACAGGCAGTCGCAGACTTCTGTCAACACCTTACTTTGATTCCTCAGTACTGAAGACAAGAAGGCCAGAAAACATAAGCAACATAGAAGTCTGATGACACACCAGTCATGAACCTACTACCCAACAAATATGCAAATCAAAATGAAGTGAGTAATATCACACGCCAGTCCGTTGAGTTTAACAGGAATGGGACATGAGGAGGTGAATGGTGGTATGACAGTGACATGGTGGACATTATGTGGACGAGAAATAGAGGTAAGTCAGCAGTTGTTGAGACAGCTACAAAGAACTTCAGAGAGGAGGATGGTGTGTTGATGCGAAGCTGAGGTGGTATTTATGCCAAAACTCCGCTTTTCATCTCTAACTAATGGGTTGATTTTATTGTTTACTTCGGCTATGTTATCAAGTTAACCAAACACTAGCAAGCGACTCAAGTATGCGTACTGTATTATATTTATAACTATATGATATAGTTATTTAACTGGAGGAAAAAACACGTGGATAAGAATGTTTTCTTTCGGATGTCATATTACTCAGATATCTGCACACTAAAAGCAGATTGTCAGTTTATTCACATTTAAGGAGTAAAACTTTCAGAAAAAATATCCAGCAAATAGCATCCGTTGGATACTGTTTGTCACTATAATACTCATCGATTACTGCTGAATACTGATTACTGAATAAAACGCTCTAAAGTATGTCAGTAGTCAAATCTTTTGAATTATGATCTCAGTGGTTTCAAGAGAATTAATTCTCACAACACAAATATATTTTGTGTTTATTGCTTTTTATAATCAATTCAATAGACTTTGCTCAACACTAATTACAATAATTAGTGAAATATTTAACTGTTTTCAGGCGATGAAAAAATAAAAACGTTTAGTTTTTTTTTACTCTCCGATTATTCATGAATCTCTTGAGGCTTGATACTTTGAATTATTTTGGACTGTGTACTCTAAAATTGTTCAAAGTGTTTGTCGGTAGATGGTAGTTTTTAGAATAGTGACTTATCATTCTAAATGTCAACCTAACACATATTTTGTTAAATAGATAGAAGATGCAAAGTCTAATGGAGAACAATCGACATTTGAATAAAAAATGAGTGATTTGCACATCAGCAGTTTTCATACTGACACTAGATATAAATCAAAAAAGGTATTCAAGAAAGTCGTTTAAGTTGATCTTATTAGATAAATAATATTTAAAATCACCAGTATTGTTAAAATAACGATTATTCAATGAATGCCAATACTCAGCGTCAAATGAACCACACAATCAGTAGTTTTGGGGAATATGACGAGCCACAGTAGAAAATCACAAAAAATTCGTTTATCATACCACGCCTTGTTGAATAATTCTTAGAATCTGAAGTACCTGCTTTTTCCATCAAAGAATAAAATTATTCGATCAAAGCCCAGTGTGATGCAGTAAGATATATATACTAAATTGTTATGAATACTGATCTGCATTGATGATTTTCATAGAAAATGATGTAGGACTGAATAACACTGACACTTTCAGCTCCTGGTTGGTAAATAAGGCCGCATGGTCGTCTTTGAATTTTGGTTGACTCACAAACGCTGAGAATTTCTTATCAACCAATCAGAAAAATGTTTGATGTATACTGGCTATTGTTTCAATTTCGTCAACTGTTGATGTAAAGCCCTATATTATACTAGTGTCACTTAAGCGACATTTGTGTTGAAACTCCACTTTTCATCTATCAACTAACGGGTTGATTTTACTGTTTAATTGAATTATGTGATAAATTTGACTGAACTTTAGATCAGGTATCAAGGATGAACCCTAGATTATATTTGAGACTATCTTCAACGGTAAGAAAAAAGTTGGTTAGAATATTTTATTTTGATCTACAAGAAACTAAGACTATCTGGGATCACTCACCCTCTGCTTTTAAAATTTGTTAACTCGTGTACCTTACCTATTGTACTTTACTGCCCCGTCCAACTCAGTCTTCACTGGTCTACTGAAAAGGGACTATATCACTTTGAGAAGGGCACTTAAGGTTGTTGACAAGGTAAGTGGTGTACACCTCAGTTAACGTGTCACTACATTAATTGATCGACACCCTAACTCATACGATAAGTGGTCTAAATCCATATTGTTTGACTCTCAACACATACTCTATTCAGAACATTTACCTTGTATCTCGTCTGGTTGGACAAGAAGTCAGTATAAAGATGATATAAGCGTACTAACAAGTATACGAACTCAACGATAACATATTTTACCATGATTTATATGATAGAGACAAAATATTTAGCGTGAAACTTATGAATAACTATGGTGCTAGCTAAATAAGTGGACTTTTTATTATCTCTTCTATGTAATACATGGTGATACTAAACCAATTCACTGTCAATCTTAGCTACTAACCTTGTTTTGTA